AACCACTTCCCGGATACCAAATGACTTTGACTGTCAGCACTTGAGTGCAGATCTCTGGAAGATAGGGCTTTCCTCCCCTCAGATATTTCATGAAATCATGGGAGGTAAGCATTTTAATATGCTCTTGGGTTGGGACACACTCAGGATTGGAACAGGGCCAGCCACAGCGGTCCTATGCCTGGAGCCTGGAGCCTGGAGCCCAGCCTGGACAGGGGTTGTGAGGTCGCTCTAGCACCCTGGTTTTGTTGTGGCCAAACCAGCAGATCAGAGAAAATGAAGAAGCTTGTGTAGTCTTTTGTAGGTCAAATGATGACATGCCCTTCTTTTTTTTGTTTGTTTTTTTTTCTGCTAAATATCTTATTTTATTTATTTATTATTATTATTTTTTAACATTTTTATTGATTATAGTCATTTTATGATGTTGTGTCAAATTCCAGATACAGCACAATTTTTCAGTTACACATAAAATATATATATTCGTTGTCATATTTTTTTTCACTGTGAGCTACCACAAGATCTTGTATATGTTTCCCTGTGCGATACAGTATAATCTTGTTTATTTATTCTGCATATGCTTGTCAGTATCTACAAATTTTGAAATCCCAGTCTGTCTCTTCCCACCTCCCAAATATTTTATTTTTAATTATAAAATATTTCAAATACACGAAAATGTGGGAAATAATTATCCAACAGCTACCCATCAGGATCATGTTTTTAAAAGTCCTCTGATATAATTAAGCATAATGATTTACAGAGAACAAAGACAATGGTCTTACTTTGTTTTCTCTATTTAATTGACGTACAGTCAATGACAATGTGTCAATTTCTGGTGTACAGCACAATGCCCCAGTCATGCATATACATACATATATTTGTTTTCATATTCTTTTTCATTAAAGGTTATTACAAGATATTGAATATAGTTCCTTGTGCTATACAAAAGAAATTTGTTTATCTGTTTTTATATGTAGTGGTTGATTGCAAATCTCGAACTCCAAAATTTATCCCTTCCCACCCCCTTTCCCTCCGTAATCATAAGATTGTTTACTATGTCTTCGAGTCTATTTCTGTTTTATAGATGAGTTCATTAGTGCCTTCTTTTTTTTTAATACTCCACATATAAGTGATATCACATGGCATTTTTCTTTCCCTTTCTGATGGCATGCCCTTCTACCGGCAGCAGGGTCTTCTCTGGGCGTGGTTCTTGCACTGATCTAGGAATTGAGAAATATTGAACATGGAGCTTACTTAAACCAACAGGAGTGTGAGGAGCAGCCATTTTAAGTCTCTTGTGTTTGTACGATTGAAGTATCTTCCTGCAAGACTAAAATACGTCTCCTACGTGTGGGTGGATAGTTAAACACTGAAATACGTATTTTTATCTTGTTAAAAAATCACTTTTGTGTGCTTTTAAAAAGTCAAGGAATGGGATGCAGAGGTGTGCTGATGCAGAACAGAGGGAGTTTGGGGTCTGGGATATATGTGTTAGGAAATGTGTTTCCAGCTGCCGCAAGGCCGAGGCAGCTGAGCTGAGCTGGTGGCTGAGCTGTCCAGGCCTCAGTACTTCCCGCCTCAGAGGTGAAGCCCCCTGGACGCTGGGGCGGGGTGGGGAGCAGACCACCGAGATGGGAAGGCAGGCGAGCTGGGGAGGACGGGTGCCTGGGGAGCTGTGGGACCCTTGTGGTCAACGTCGGTGGGGGCCGCCAGCTTTGGTCCCCAGGCTGATGGGGTCGGAGGGTCCGGCCTTCGTGCTGTGGTCTTCCAGGGGGTCTGTGCACAGTCTGGAGGTGCATTTTGTCATTTCATTTTTACTCTGTCAGATTAACATTTGCACAGAGGTTTTAGAAGTCAGGAAATAAAGAAACGGACCAGGGGTTGTGGTGATTCCCTGGGCGGCGCATCCTCCCAGTGGCCCTGGGCTCTCCTCTGCCTAGCTCCCGAGTCATCGGTGAGGAGTTCGGGCTTCTGGTGACACAGCTGTTCTCTCTGCTTCTCCCACCTTCCGCCAGTGGGGTACCTTCTGGGTGAATTGACGAGGAAGCCTGTGTTTTCAGCCTGCACGGACGATGTTCACAGCTGAGCATAGGGCGTTCTGTGATGCTTTTTACTCCTAAGAAAAAACTGCCTTCTTAAAAATGGACCTACTTTTCTGTGTGCCTGTGGCTGGGTCTTCCCCTGACTTGGGTTATCTCGCACTCCGTGCTGCCCCCCTGGCTGACCTCCCATCTGGGGCCTCAGGGGCTTTGGCAGGCCTGGTGGGGCCCCTCTCCATGCTGGTCTCCAGAGTTGCTGAGCTGTGGGGGCTCTTGTTTCCCATACCCTCAGCTTGCTTTGTAGTTCATTTCTTCGTTCTGCCAGCTTCCAGGAAAGGGGCTCGAGGGAGTCTATAGTTTCTGGAGGCTGCATGGCCTTGGATACATGTGGACCTCTAGGTGGGAGGTGCTCCCTCCATGAGAAGCCTGTCACCACCCCACCCCAGTCCCCTTCCCCTGCTGCTGTGGGGACGCCGGTGCTTCTCTGGTGCTTCTCCTCTTGGAGTTTCAGGGCGGCTTCCCTCACTCCCGCAGGCACATGATGGTCCAGGGAAAGTTCCTCAGTCGTTTCACGGGAGTCTCAGCCCCTCCAGCCCTGTTCTGGCTCCCCCTCCCCGCCTTGGAAGCTGACCCCCTCTGGCCCTCGTCTCCTTTTCTTCATCTTGTACATCCTGTCACCTGTGTCTGCCTTCTAGCTCTGCTCTCTGGGACAGTTCTTCAGTTTTACCTCGGACCTTTCACTTCTAACATTTAATATGCTTTTATTTGTAAGAACTTTTTTGGGGGGGTAATCTGACTTTTCTGGTTTTATAGCATCTTGTTCTTGTTAAATGGATGCAGTGTCTTATCTGTTTGGATAATAAAGATAGTTTCTTGATGTTTTCTTCCTTCTGCAGAGTTTCTTTTGGCTCCAGATGACTCTTTTCTCTGGGGTCTTTGTCTGCCATGTTAGGGGGCACTGATTGAAGACAAGTGGGATCAGACATGCAGGTTCAGTCCCTCCTTCCAAACTGGAGGTTCATATCTCATTTAATTGTATTTTTAAAATGAAGTTGTTACAGGGAGCGTATTTACTTGGATTGTGACTTAAGTGAGTACCTCACCCGTCTTGTGTTTCTGTTCTTCTGCAGGTGGGTGTCCTCAAAGAGGACACCCATCTTATGTTGGAACCTGTGTGTTTTTTGTTTCAACTGATCCCTTATCATCCTCCTCTCCTAAGAGACTATAATAAACCAAAATTACAGAGTGAAATTTAGGTCCTTCCTGAATTGGAGATATGAGACCCGTAGACATGATAAGAATCAGTCAAAGTGGTGTTTCCCTCCCAGGGCCGATGTGGCGATTTGCTCTCCTGGTCTGCCTTCACTTCCTGGCCCATCCTAGGCGGGCTCATGGGATTCCTTGATGCTGGGGCAAGCTGAAGCTTTAGGCTGGCCTCATCCATGGGCTGCCTGGGTCCAGCTGGCACCTGGGGAGATGGGAACAGTTCTCTCTTGGGCTGGCCTGAGCTGTACTTTACCAAACAGACAGCACCCCAGGCTGTGCCACCACCATGGGAGCTCGCCAGGACGTGGCACAGGCCCTGGGGTTAGGGGAGAGGGGCAGAGGGTGTGCCACCAAGGGGCAGACACCATTTCCTTATTTCTCTGGTTGGTGGCTGATAAACATGTAGTTAGGAGTCTTTTTTAAATCTGGTAAAAAATCTGGCCAAGGTGTCTGCTTTCGGTGACGGGCTTGGGAAAGCTTCCTCCTCCCAGCATTGGACATGTAATCTGGTGCTGTTGTGACTTGGGAGCCCACACCCGCACCCGCTGCAGGCTCCTGCCCCAGGTGGGTGAGCAGACTGCACACTTGGCAGCACCTTACCAGGAAGTGGCCCCTGGGGTCGGGCAGAGCTGGCAAAACCTCTCACTCATGAGAGTTCAGTGGGTTGATGGGTGTTGTGCTTCCCAAATCACGGCTGGTTTCCTCTGGGCGGGACGTAGGTCTTGGGCTGTCTCTTCCTCCAGCCAGGAGGCAGGGGTTCCAAGCTCGTGTTGAATGAGTTCTGTAGCACTGTGGCGGGCAGCACCGCTTTGTTTCTCATATGTCAGTACAGATTGGCCCATCTCTTAGCACTTGGCCTCCTTTTTGGGATTTCTTTCAGGATCACAGATGTGGTCCTGCAGCCCGTGCTCACACTCCTCCAGTACCCGGGGTGTGCGTATGTATGGAACCATCAGAAAGCTTTCTGGCAGCAGCTGGACTGGAATTTCCTGGGGTGAGGCGCTGGGAAGACAGGCAGGGAGACCCATCCTGGGGGTGTAAGTAGATCAGCCAGACCCTGGAACCCGAGCCTGGGATGCCCCTCCCCTTTCTAACAAACGCACGCCTGTCCTTGTCTTCGTGTGGGGATGTGCTACCCAGTTAGCTGTGTGCACAGCTCTCTCCCTGCAGAGTGCTCAGATTCCATCTCTTACTGTAGCGTGTTGGCATCAGTGTGCTGTTTCTCCTGCCCCAGGTGAAAGTTGCTGAGGTCAGACTTGGAGAATCTGCGTGTCCAACACTGGGACCTTTGCCTTGGGAGGGGCTGAGAGATGACTCGCGTGGCCCCTCCATCTTACAGAGGAAAAGTCGGAGCATGGGTCCCCCTGCTCTTGATGCCAGAGTTGGGTGGGGACCCAGGTCACTCAGGGCAGGAGATAGGCCAGCAGGCCATTCATCTGCCTCTGTGCTGGTTGTGAGCGGTCCCTGGGCCTGGCCCCCTGCCCGCTGGAGCTGGGGAGGCCGCCATTCCTGGTCCCCACCTTCATGGCCCGGCCCTGCTCTCCTTTGCTTTGTGGCCTTTCATCGCTATCCTGAGGGCCTCTCCCTCATGCCCCTCCTGGACCTCAGCCAGGCTAGGGAGCCAGCCTGGGGCAGCTGCTGTGAAGGCCTACTGGCCAGGAAGTCCGTGTATGTCAACCTGTCTTCTCCTTTGTGTTCCAGTGAGGACGCCATGAGGAAAGCTGGTGTGGCCCACAGTAAATCCAGCAAGGACATGGAGAGCCACGTGTTCCTGAAGGCCAAGACCCGGGTAAGGCCCTGGGGCAGTCTGCCTGCAGGGTTGCTGGTGGGGACAGGGTGCGAGGTAGGCTCTGGAAGCCTCCACCCGGGCAGTGAGGCTGGGGGCTGCACACTGTCAGAGCGCACACCGTCAGCATCCTCTGCGGCCCTCTGTGGGTCCTCCTTTGGGTCCACCATGTGGATGTGGGTATGGGAGGGATGGGGTGGGCACTTAGGATGCAGGCCCAGCCTCTGACCCCTGCTGGCACCCTCCTTCATGGCTGGGTGCTCTCCTGCCCCAGCTGCTCCTGTTGGGGGTGCCGAGTGCCCTGAGTAAGAGTGGGCTCTGGCCTCAGGCTCAACCCTCCCTCCTGGGGGGGGTCTCACCTAAGCCCCACGGAGCCCTGACAGGGTTCATGCCCCCTTTTGTTAAATGATGAGGGTGATCCTCATGGCGGGTGAGGGCTTGAGTGAGGACCCAGACGGGGGAGCGTCGCAGGTGGAGAGGTGGCGGAGGGTTCCCATGTGAGCTCTCTTGTGAACTGGGCGGGCTTCACGTGGCCACTCCCTCCATCCGTGCGCTCGCCGGGGGTGAGCTGGTGGAAGTGAAGCAGAACAGGCCTGGAGATGCCATGTGGCCTGTCAGATGACCCAGCCTGTGTTCTGCACCCACCCTGCCGCTCATCGGGTCAGCACTGTGCACCTAGTGCCCAAGTGCAGGGTTGGGGCTCTGGGACTCACTGTGTGTCCAGAGTTAAAAGCACATTCTCTTTGTGGCCCTTGGCTACTGGTTTAGGTAAATGAACTGTCAAGTCAGAGAGAGGTCAGCTGGGGAAATCTGAGCATGCTCTGAGCGTGTGGATGAGGTGAACATTTTTTGAAATGGAAAGGTAGGGATTTCTGGCCAGAGAAAGCAGAGTCCAAAACAAGCCTTCTGTGCGGTCTGGGCTTGGGGTCAGAGTTCACGTGAGTCCGGGTGGGTGCCAGGAAGAGCTACAGGAGCATGTGGACCGAGGTGGGCAGCTCTGTGCTGGGGATGTAGATCAGCATTGTCTTCTTTCTGTAATGACTTTACTGAGATCTAATTCGTATACTGTATGATTCACCCATTTAAAGTGTGCAGTCCAGGGGTCCTTAGTACAGCCATCACCACAAGCAGTCTTAGAGCATTAGAGCATCTTAGAACCTTGTCTAGAAGAAACCGAGACCCGATAGCCCTCACCCCGCATCTGCCCTTAGCCCTGGGCAGCCACTTATCTGCTTTTTGTTGCTATGGATTTGCCTGTTCTAAACTTTTTGCGTAAATATAATCGTTCAGTATATGTTTTTGTGATTGGCTTCTTTCATTTAACATAATATTTCCAGTGTTCATCATGAACTGTGTACTTCATTTATTCCTTTTTATTAGCAAATAGCATTCTATCGTATGGATTATACCACATTTTATTTATCCATTCCTCAGTTGATGGACATCTTGAGTGTTCCCACTTTTTGGCTGTTACAGTAATGCTGCCATGAACATGTGTGCACCAGCTTTCCCGGTGACACATCCATTTCTCTTGGGTCTGTACCTGGAAAAAGGAATTCTGGATCATGTGGTGACTCTGTGTTTAACCTTCAGAGGAACTGCCAGACCGTTTGCAGAGCAGCGGCACCATTTCCCATTCGCACGTGGAGTGACGAGGGGGTAGTCCCTCCACTCCTCATTGGTACTTGTTACTGTCTTTTGTATCAGAGCCGTTGTAATCGTTGTGAAGTGGTATCTGATTGTGGCATTGATTTGCATTCTCTGATGACTCATTGTGTTTATTTGTCATTTGTATGTGTTCTCTGGAGAAATATTTATTCAGATCCTTTGCCCATTTTAAAATTGGGTTGTTGGTTGTCTTATTGTTACATTGTTAGAACTCTTTATAAATTTTGGATTCAAGTCTCTTATTAGATATATGATTTGCAAATATTTGGAGGGATGAGATAAGAACTTTGAGGGTTTATTGAATTATTTCAGCTTTTGAAATGCGCAGCTTGTTGTTCAGTATTGTTTGTTATCTGTGGCTTTATAGGGAACTACCCCAGATGTAGTGGCTACAGAAATGAGTTGCTGTTTCTCCAGATCCTGTGGGCCAGGGTTAAGATGCTGGGAATTGTCCCACTGGCCACTCTGCTGGTCTCACCAGTGAGTCTCAGACAGCTGCATCCAGCTGGGAGCTGCGCTGGGCGGGAGGTCCAGAAAGGCCTCACTCACGTGTCTGAACATTGGCTTTCTCGATGTGGCCGCCACTCAGTGTCTCTGGCAGTAGAACCAGGACTTCCGCATGGCCTGGCGGCTGGCTTCCAAGTAGGGGGAGTGGAAGATGTCAGTCCCCAGTGTCCTCGAGCATCACTGGGTGGGAATGGTCTCACCTTTGATGCGCTGCGGCCTGTGTACAGGGAGGCAAATGGTCATTGGCCGCCGTCTTGGAGACAGGCCACCACAGAGACCCTCTTGGCAGTAGGAGGTAAACTCCTCTCCTAGGGGGCACCTAGCAGCTCAGCAGCCCCCTAGAGCCTTCACCTGGGACCTTCTGCAGCCCCTACAGCTCACCTTCATAACTGCATTCTCATTTCCTTGAGTCAGGCTGGTTCTGAATCCTTCCCTTCAAGAGGAGGCCCTTACTGTTGGGAAGAGAGGTATTTCTAGAAAGGTGTGGGGATGTCCTGGGTCATTTTTGGAGAGACAGACATACTACTGCGTGGGCACTCTTGTCTGATGTCCAGCTCCTTGGTCCTGCTCGAGCCCCGTGCAGGAGGCCCTTCCTCTAGGGCAAGACTCTGGAGGGACTCTGCAGGCAGGTGGCAGCCTGGACATGCTTGTCACCAGCCTCTCCTACCTGAGACCCCTTCAGAGTGACTGTGAAAGGACTTCAGAGGTGGAACCTGGAGCAAGGGAAATGGTCAGGAAGAGTGATTTCTCTGTCTCTGGACCTGGGGAGGGGCTGGGAGGAATCCTGGCGAGCTGGTGGATCCAGAGGTGTCCACCCTGAGGGAACCTGTGGCTCTAATGGGCATGTCAGGCTGCCTGATGTAGACCCCAGGGCGAGGAAGGCCTGGAGTGCTCTTGTGTAGAAGAACTCGCTGAGTCCGCTGCCCGGTGTGCTGGCACTGCAGGCAGAGCCCTGTCCATCCTGTCACTGGCTGGCTCCACACCTAGGGCCTGGGCCCCCCTGTAAAGTGATGTCCCCTTGCAGGGTCCCATGAAGCAGGCACAGTACCACTCTCCCTAGTTTGCAGAGGGGGAGGCTCAGGCACACAGATGCCAGGTGACTCGCCCAGGAGGTCACACAGCCAGGGGCAGGTGAAGCTGGGGTCCCTGGGTAGTCTCGGCTCAGCGCCTGCACTCTCAGCCCCGTCCCTCTCTTCCTCCCGTCTGGCAAGGTGACAGACACCCACTTTAGTTCTTGCAGGTGGGACTCCTCTCTGCCTGAAGGAGACAGAGGGAAGCAAAATCAAGTGTTCTCGGTGGGGGGGTTGCGATAACAGCCACGCTAGGCCCTCGCACCAGCCTCCTGAGGAGTCGGGGAGATTTGGCCTCCACCGGAAGGGAGCATCTGAGGACCTGGGACCTGCGTGGGCACGGCAGCAGCGCGGGGAGAGGCTTCTCACGGTGTTGGCTCATCGCTTTGTTGTTTTTAAATGAAACTTACCTTGTACACATGCCAACTCTTTTGCACATAACATGGTATCATATGAAAGTTGTGCACGTCTCTGGTTTACAGTGTAGATGTGACACGTATACCTGAGTCCCTGCAGTGGGGGGCGGGGTGGGGGGCCCAAGGTGAAACTTGGTCCAGGGAGGTTGAGAGCATCAGAAATGGGAAGCTGCCTAGAGGCTAATAAAGAGGAGGACCTGAGCTGCCCAGCAGCCGGCGGGAGTCAAAGGGCAGGAGCACTGCCTAGGAATGGAGGAGGAGGCTATGCCCGTCTGGTACAGAAGACGCTGTCCTCCCTTCAGTCTTTCTTAAGGACTTCGTGAGCCCCGGGTCAGGCTTTTGACTGAATCTGAATACATCTTCTGCTGTCCGCACTTAATTGGAGCCAGATATTGGAAGAGAAAAGCAGTTATATCCATTGAAAAATGTGAATACCTGAAAAGGCTACATTTTCTTTTCTTTGGTGGGGGAGGTCATTAAATTTATTTATTTATTTTTTAGTGGAGGTACTGGGAATTGAACCAGGACCTCATGCATGCTAAGCATACGCTCTACCACCGAGCTATACACTACCCCCCGACTAGCATTTTCTTGACAGCTGCTGGAATCTGCTGGAAAGGCCTGGATGCAGCCAGTTCCTGACAGGTCCAGGGGCCCTTTTCCTGCCCCTGCTCTGTCTGAAGGATGACCTCCGGGACTCCTCCTGCACCCCCCAGCTCTGGTCAGCGTGCTTGCTCGGAAGCTGCCTTGTACATGCTGACCCTTTGGTTTTCAGTAGCTCTGTTTTTAGGAGCACATACTGAGCGTCCTTTATCAGCATGCTGTCTAGTCCTCATGACTTTCTCCAGTTGACCAGTGAGGTGTAGGGCAAGTCTGTGGGGGCACGGGGTGCTGGATTGCTTTCTCCTTGCCATCTAATTTTTTAATTGAAACTGGGTAAGGAGCCCATTGTCATTTTTTTATTATTCATTTTTGTATGTCTAAAATAATGTATAAAAATAAAATGTTAAAATATGTGAATCACAGCACAGTGCTTATCAAAGTTCCTGTGTTGCTGAGAACATGGACTCTGGAGTGCCTGCCCTGGGACTTGGTATATTTTTCAATATGTGGGGAAAACTTAAAACTTTGTAGAAACTGACAAGTCCCATGCCAGGGGAGGTCAGTCAGGCCGGGAGGAAAGCAGCTGGCCCTGGGGGTCAGATTCGCCCTCAATGCAGACCTACGGCCTTGGCAAGGATTTTGGAGATGTATTTAACCCTCAAGAACACCCTCAGTGGCAGTGTGACTCCCCATGCCCACTTCTGTCAGCTGATCACTCCTGGGCACCCGGCTCAGAGCTCAGTCCTGGTTCTGTGCCAGGGGCTTTGGGAACATGGCCCTGAGCCCCATTCATTGTACCTTGTGTTGGAGTAACCGTGTCTGGCTGCTTTTTAAACCTGCGTCCTCCTGTTTCACCTTTTATGAGAGCGGACAGAGCTCCGCAAATTCTCCTACGGTTTCTCTGACCTCAAAGATGGCCCAAGGCCTTAACAAGACATCAGACATTGAGCTGGCCAGCCCCTTGTCCTCGACCCCCTGTCCTTGGCCACCTTGTCCTTGATCCCTTGTTTCTGGGCTCCCGCTATCCCCTGCTTTTCTTGCCCCACTTGCCACCCTGCTCTCCAGAGACCAACCTCATCAGCTGACCGGGGGGTCCCTCTCCCAGGAATGGGTGGGGGCCATAGAGGGTTGGGCATGTTGGCCTTCCTCCCCTGGGTCCCTTTGCTGCAGCAGAGCCTCCCTGTCCTTCCTCTGTACCTGCCCTGCGGCCGCCCCAGGCCTGTATCTGCCAGAGATGAATCAGGGCTGGAGGATGAGAGAGCGTGCTTCCCTCTCTCCTATAGCTCCCCTCAAGGTGTTCTCACGATGGTTCACTCTGTCCCTGGGCTTGCAGGCTGCCCAGTATCCTAGCACAGGAGCTGCAGCTGGTTGTCCCGCCAGCTGTCCCTTGGACTCAGGGTCGCAGTGACTTAGGAGGGGCGTGTGAGCAGGCGGGGCTGAAGGCCTTGCCCTCTGCCTACTTTGCCAGGACAGCCCTGCGTCTCTGAAATAAGACTTGATTTATAAACATCCCTTCGTTGACCTCAGGACAAACTCAAAGTAGTGATTTCCCTGAAGTAGATGTCCTTGGTTACAGCAAAGACAGTTCGTGGAAGGCAGGCCTTGTAGGCTGTTCCAGAGATGTGACTGCCAGAGCCCAGAGGGCCCTCGGTGGTGGCCTTCACCTGCCTCCTCTGAATGGCGTTGTGCCCTCCCCTCAGCTACGCAGTAAATTTGAATCAGCACAGGGCTTTTAGCGCAGCCTGGCGCTTGTCCAGATTTGCATGCGAGCGCGACCTCAGCAGTGAAAAGCAACAGGCCGGCCTTAAAAGCGAAAGTGCTTTGGTACAATTAGAGCAAAGACGCTGCAATGCGTGTGCCCTCAGGCCCCTCTGAGGAGTGGAGTCCTGAGCCCCACACGGCCCTGGCTGGGGTTCCCAGCTTGCGGGGAAGCAGCAGCTCCTAGGGCCTTGTACCTTCTTGGTTTTCTGTTTGTGCCTTCTGTTGTCCCGCAGGAGCCTCGCACGGAGGCCTGTCTCCATCCTGGGAGGGGGCCAGGCATCGCCCTGGGGAAGGGCCTCTGCTGGGGGCAGAGCAGAGTGTGTCTTCGCCATCTGGGATTAAACTGCTTCCTGTTTTTACTTTTAGGACGAATATCTTTCCCTCGTGGCCAGGCTTATTATCCATTTTCGAGACATTCGTAAGTAAACTTCACGTCTCTGGGTGGTGGTGTTCGGCCGCTGGGCCCGAGGTGGGATATCTGTGAGCAGCGCCTGCTTCTGGGAGGCTCTTCATTGCTTTGCATTGTATTCCACGTCTGCCATCCTCCCAGAGCATCAGCCTCAGACATGCTGATTTTGGTGTCCAAGCGGTCTAAACCGGATTGCTCTTCCCACCTGTCCGTTTATTCTCCCTTTTCGATGGACTGCTGCTTTCAAACCTAGGCCATCCTTAAGTAAGCAGAGTCCACCCTGAACAGACACTTTCTTCCCTAATTGTTTTTTTTGACTGGGGGAGCCTGGACATAAACATGTGTTACTGTCAGGCTGGAAGTTTCTGGGGCCAGCTTCTCCAGGTCTGTCCCTCGCTTCCTGCCCCGTGAGATGCCCAGGGCCACTGTGCTCCTGTCCGCCAGCCTGCAGCCCTGTGGCTCTTCAGAGCTCCTGTGTCACTGCAGCCGGGGTCGGGGGCTCAGTGGTCTTTTGTGTTGGGCCTATCTGTGTGGACACTGTTCCTGAGTGACCGCAGTCTCTCAAGGACACCAGCCTCCTGGGCACTGTGGGGTTTCCACCCTGGCTCCTCCCACCTGCCTGCAGTTGTGTGGCCACGGGAGACAGCTCTGCCCCGCTCCCCACGCAGCCAGTCCTTGGAGCTGCTGCTCCTGTGGCTGTAGAGGCAGCTGCGGCCTGAGTGTCAGTCATCTCCCATGGAGGGAGAGAGTCCTTGCGTCCCTGCGGGCTGTTGCTTCTTTCCACACTGACTTTTTACTGGGTTGAAGCTGGGACCTGGGAGGGATGGAGCCCAGAGCGAGCCTCTGCCTGGGGCAAGGCTGCAAGGGTTGGGCTGACTGTGGGTGCTTCTGGACCCTCTTCCCCAGGCCTCCTTGTGTGTCCACGCTGCAGGGGGTGGGACACACGCACACATGTGTTCATACACATGTGCACACACATTCTGAAGCTCTGAGGTATGTTTTGTCTAGTTTCTAGACAGTCAGCTTAGTTTTAGCAAATGACGTCTGGGCGAATGCCTTCAGAATTGACTTAGCATGGAAGTATGTGGTTATTTAAAACTTTGTTTACTTTGGTTTCTTTCTTTTTTTAAAATATAGATAACAAGAAATCTCAAGCTTCTGTCAGTGGTAAGTTTTTCCTTTTTGAATGAAAGTTTTTCCCAACTTTGGATCTGGGGTGGCAGGAGTGACAAGGTGGATGCTGTGTGTGCCTGGGGTTGAGCTGTCTGTAGAGGAAAAAGTTTCTGGAAAGACCCTGGTTTCGTGGGAACCAAGAGCTCCTGGCCCTCCGCCCACCTTCCTCCCAGCACCACCCCTCCCCCTCCACCCAGCAAAGAGGATGAAGTCTCATGATTGCTGAGATACTGTCCAGAATTATGGGCTCTCTGGAGAACTGTTATGGTATATTCAGTGTAATGGTCTGTGGTGATAATTCTCAGAGAATAGCTATGAATTCACTTTCTCATGTTACAGAGTTTCTTTGTAAGTTAAAAATTATTATTCAGTTTTTAATTTCAAGCGTTTATCATATGACAGCCCTGTTTCTGTAGCCCTGGTCTTGCCAAGTGAGCAGCCAGTGAAGGGGTTTAGCAGATCCAAACAGCCAGCTAAACTGCAACCTGTCGGGCAGGGAGCTGCCTGGCCTGCTGTCTCTCCATAGGCGGCGGAGCCACAGGGGCCGGGTGCCCAGGGGCCTGGGGGCACGGGCAGTGATTGTCAGCCAGCTGGCCCAAGGTGGCCAGGGAGACCCCTCCTGCTCACTTTCTCTGGTTCTTGGGGTTCTTACCTGAAAACTGCTTCTCTGCGGGGTCCTGCCCAGACTTAGCAGAGGTGGGCTTCTGAGGTACAAGGGGACTTGTAACCTCCCTGGGAGAAGATCTGCCCCTGCCCCTGTGAAGAAAGACCCTTGTCCCGCGTTTTCTTTGAAATTCCCAGCTGTGTGTCACCCAGCTGGAGGGCAGGGCTCCGGGTCCAGGAGAGAGACAGAGACTCCAGTGTCCTGGCCCCTGGGCCAGGCAGTTGGGCCAGGGTTTGGGGGACTCCCAGAGCTCCAGCCTCTCCCCGCCTGGGGCGCGGAGGGAGTGGAGCCTGGAGGCAGAGGTGGTGTGGCTCGGGGAGGCTGCCGGCCGGCGGAGCCTGGGACACTGTGCCCTGTCTCCTGCAGACCCAATGAACGCGCTCCAGAGCCTGACGGGTGGGCCCGCTGCGGGAGCTGCTGGAATCGGCCTGCCTTCTCGGGGCCCAGGACAGCCGCTGGGCGGGATGGGGGGCCTCAGCGCCCTGGGGCAGCCAATGCCCCTCTCGGGGCAGCCACCTCCAGGCACCTCAGGGATGGCGCCCCATGGCCTGGCGGTCGTGTCCACAGCAGCTCCACAGAGTAAGTACCACACTGCTCAGAGAGGCATCATATTCCTTTGCTTAGTAAGGTGTGGGTGAGGAGAATGGGGAGAAGAGTCCCAAAGGGGTTGGGGCACCGAGGCCCGCTGGCCCTGGGCACAGCAGTGTGCTCAGACGGTTGGCCCGGGACCCCTTTGTAGGGGCTGTGCTCTGTAGTCAAAATAGAAACAGTTCTGTCTCAGGGTGTTTGCAACCACAGTCTTGTCAGCACCCCTGGACTCCAGCCTGCCCCAACCTGGGAACTGTCCCTTCCCGTGCTCCCCTGGCCCCTGCCTGCATGGCTGTGGCTTGCTGCCAGATTCCCTTTCTGCAGGAGGCACCTGGCCATCCTTGTGCTTCTCTTCCCCAGTGGTAGGTGGCATCTTAGACGTCACCGACACATGGGGTAGCCCTCCCCACAGTTGGCAGGCACGAGGCACCCATCCGCCACCACCATGGGCTGTCATGGTGCCTTCCCTCCAGCCCTAAGCCTGGCTGCCACTGGTCTGCTCTCTGCCTCTGTGATTGTCACTTTGCTGATGTTACATCCGTGGAAACATACAGTATTTGACTTTCTGAGATTGGCTGCTTTCATTTGGTGTAACCACTCTTGACGTCTCCGGGTTGTGTTGGAATTGGTTTCTGTTCGCTGCTGAGTGGGCCCCCTGGACTGGCTGTTTTGCGTTTCCCTGTCCACTCTCCCTTGAAGGGCACTTGGGTTGCTCAGCTGTGACAAGTAAAGCCTCTGTGGCCACTCATGTACTTGTGCTTTCTCCCACGCTCCTGTTGGCCACCCCTTGCGGGAGCCCAGGGAAAAGGACAGTGGCTGCCCGCCGCCTGGCCTGAGCACGAGTGCTGTGCCGGGTGTCCTGGTGTGCCGGCGCTGCCTTGTGCCTTGCTCTGTCCTCGCGCCCCAGCCGCCCCTCATGCCTTCTCCCTGTGGACGTCTTGCCATCTGACCACTCGCCCATCACTTGCTTCTGTATCTGAGCTCTGGTGTCCGTCTTGTCTTGTCAGGGCACACACATACACGCACACATGGGGCGGGATGCTCAGAAGTGTCCGCTCTGGCTCCTTCTTCCGTTACACTCTGGTGCACTGGTTGAATTTCTTTTCATCACAGATGTAGCTTTTGTAATAAAAATAGTTTAGAACGTATTAGTTTCCGATGCTCCCATGGTTTGTCTTGCAGTCTCTCCCCTAGGACTTTGTCAGTTCAGGGCGAAGCTTTGGTCAGCTGCCTGCATCCTCCCTGGTTTGACCTTGGACCACATCCTGTTTTCAGCTTCTGAGGTGGGGGTTGCAGTGGGTCTCTGCTTTCATGTCCCGCTGCCGCTTCTACCAGACACCCTCCTGCCCTGCCTGTGACCGCTTGCCACCTGGTCTACCTGAAACAGATGTAGTGGCCCATTGGGTGCTTGCTACCCCTTTCTGACACCTCCACACACTGCTGTGTGATGAAGGCTGCTTCAGGCCTTAGTGTCATGCCCCTAGAGGGCAAGTCCTGGGTCAGAGGTGGCCAGGGCTCTTGAAGGGCAGTCCAGAACCCACTGTGCATCTCAGATGACCTGGGTTAGTCACAGGAGGCACACTGCAACTGTTGGAGAGGCTGGGGTTGGGGTACAGGGTTGGAAGCCACACTTTTAACCTCTATGCGTGTTTGTTTCTAGATGAATTTTAACATCGTGTGTGTAAAACCAACTTTAAAATAAGCCCTATTTCTGGCTATTTGATAGACTAGGGGCTGAGGACCATCCTCCTCCTGACATAGCCGTTGTTAGACATGGCCTTGGGGTGCTTAACCAAATAAAGCCTGGAATTCCAAGTCAGTGAGCCCGCATCATGCATGACCATGCAGACCTGAAAAGTAACCAAGTAGAACTTGCAGAAATGAGAAATAAAGTTATTGAAAGAAGAAAAGTGTGGATGAATCAATAGCCACTTAGATATAAAGCCTGGGACCTTCGCTAGATAGTTTTTTAAGGACATACTCTTTTTTATTTTTTTCTTCACCATTTCCTCTGACCTCTCAGGCCATCCTTCCCAAGATAGCAGGTGTAAATGGAAGGAGAAACATTTCCCACATAAGGGAGTAAACACGCATAAATCTAAAGCAGTGATTCTCAGCGATTCTGCACCCTGTAGGGGATTTGGCAATGTTTGGGGACATTTTGGCATCACAGCAGGGGTGCTGCTGGCAGCCAGCGGGCAGAGGCCAGAGGTGCCATTGAGCTCTTCCGTGCATGGATGCCCCCCCCACAGGGAATAGCTGTCTGGCACGAAGTGTCAGGAGGTTGTAAATCCTCGTATGAACAAAAATTATCTTAAGATAATCCTCAGAGCTCACCTCCTCTCTTTGCAAGCACTGGAATTTTGAGTCAGTAATAGATTAGTTCTTAGTCCAGTGTGTGTGGGAGGTACTATTATTGTCTCTTTTCTCCAGCTAAGGAAACTGGGGTGCAGAGCAGTGTCGGAGTTGGGGTTTGAAGCCAGGCACTGGGGTCAGAGGCTGTACCCCTGGTCTTCATCCTGTCCTGCCTCTTAACATAAGTCTGCCATATGGGCGTGAGAAGATAAACAGGCACCCTGCTAAATGGAAGTCAGGAAGCGGACATGTCAAGGATTTCAGGTCCGTCGTGTGCACATAAAGTTAAATACGTGTGATAAAACTGAAGAGGTCGTTGCTGAAATAATAGAAGTAGTTTGTAAATTCCAAACCAATAGGAAACGTGGAGATAGACAGAAACAACAAACCACAAGACCAAACAGCATACAAAATTCAACCTAGCAGTCCAACAGAAATACAGTTCAGAAGACGATGCAGCAATACCTGGAAATGGAAGGCATGTGGGCAGTTTTGTCTCCGTTACTGGTAGTTAAGCACAGAAGGTGATAAATGTAGAGAAGAGCTTTGTCTAAGCCCGTGGTTGGGACACGTATGCTTACGGCAGGTGCTGCTGGGAGAGGCTCCTCACCCGGCCTGTCTACAGAGGGTGTGCTGAAGGAGAAAGCTGGGCCGGCTGTAGGGTTCCCCTTCTATGGCATTTTTAAAATGTGAGAACTGGAAGTCACTGGAGTAGTTGCTGAAGGGGGTGGCACCACAAGGGCTCCCTGTGGTGTTGGGACCGTTCAGTGTTTTGATTGTGACAGCTGCTGAATCTACCCAGGTGAGAAAACGTGTAGAACTCAGGCAGGTGAGCGCATGTGCTGATTGTGTTACGATGTTCTGATTTTCCACAATGGTCCCATTGCGGGAACCGAGCGAAGTGTGCAGTCTCTCTGTGGTCCTCTTTTTGACCTCAGGTGACAGCTCCATTTGTGTGGTTCACCTGCACCGGGCGGTGGTTTTCAGTGCACTCACGGTCATTCAGCCGTCACAGTCAGTCCTAACACATTTTCATCTTCTGAAAAGAAACCGCAGAAAATGTTGTGAATGATTGTTTATATCCGTGTTATCCCTAACCACCAAGAAGTGGGAGCGACCCACATGTCTGTCAACTGATGGGTGGCTACTTGGAACTTGGGAAATCCATTCAGTGGGGTGTCACTCGGCCGTAGAAAGAAAGGGACGGTGCGGTGAACCTTGTCACCACTGTGCTGAGTCCAAGGAGCCCAGGCATGGGGCTCCATGGGCACCCAGGGTCCCGTGGAGGCCCCCCGTGCAGGCAGAGGGCAGACAAGGGTTTGCTGGGGGCCGGGCCTCCTCGCCACCACAGGACCTGTTACAAGTGGCTCAGGGCAGTTGGTCTCAGGGGCATTGAGGTGTCACCCCGCCCCCTCTGCCCCCCCAATCCCCTGTCCCCTGACGCGCGCTCTCTCCAGCCCAGCTGCAGCTCCAGCAGGTGGCGCTGCAGCAGCAGCAGCAGCAGTTCCAGCAGCAGCAGGTGGCGCTGCAGCAGCAGCAGCAGCAACAGCAGCAGCAGCAGCAGCAGCAGCAGCAGTTCCAGGCGCAGCAGAGCGCCATGCAGCAGCAGTTCCAGGCGGCAGTGCAGCAGCAGCAGCAGCTCCAGCAGCAGCAGCAGCAGCACCTGATTAAGCTGCACCATCAAAACCAGCAGCAGGTATCGGTGCCCCTCCTCCTGCACCTGGGCCGCCGCCTCCTCCCAGGGCCCGGGACCCCACGAGGAGGGCATCTCCCACGGGCCTGCTGTGTGCCAGGGACCTGGGCCAGCCGAGGCCCCTGGGTGCGAATGACTCATGTGGGAGGTAACAGAGGCAAAGAGGAGGCAGACACCACCGCTCAGGCGTTTCTGGGCCACCCCGTGGGCGTGCGTTTCCTTGGAGCACGGCATGCCTCCTGTTTTTGCACCTGAGTGTTCAGGTGTCTGGACGCAGCACTAATCAAACCCCATCTAGTGTCCCACAGGGGAGTGGCAATGTCACATTAGATGCCCTGCTTACAAGAAAACCTTTTCTCCCTCCTGTGATTTGTAGTCAGTGCCCAGACGTGTTACGTGTCTTCTTTCAGTCTGCTCTTGGTCGAGGGAGGGAAGCTGAGAGACCCCCTCCACTTTCCCACCTGCCCCAGGCCTCAGTTTGCTGCCTCCTTTTCCCATCAGTCTCCCTCCTGGACCTTGAAGCCCCTCTCTCAGGGCTGACAGTGAACCTTCAGTCCCACTTTTCCTCCTCGTCCTGAGGCTCGTACCATGACCTCATAGGGACCAAACGTGTCCCTGGAGAGGCTGCAGAGATGTGCAGTCAGTCGAGCCTTGATCCCAGCCTCTCTGGGGCTGCATCTCTAGGTGACCCCTTGCTCAGCCCTCCAGACACTTCCCTTGACCCTCTTTCATTTCTTAGGCCTAGGGGTGGGCTGGCATCTGGCAGCCAAGGCGCAGGTGCACCCTGGGCGTCCCCAGTGTCGTTCTGGGAGGTGCTCCCTCCACCTCTGTGAGAGCAGCCCAGGCAGACTTCCCAGGGGCAAGGCCGGCATGGGGTCCGGGGGCCAGCAGGGTGAGCAGTGCTGCTTGTTTTCGCCCTAGATGCAGCAGCAGCAGCAGCAACAGCAGCTGCAGCGGATGGCACAGCTGCAGCTGCAGCAACAGCAGCAGCAGCAGCAGGCTTTGCAGGCGCCACCACCCATGCAGCAGCCACCCATGCAGCAGCCCCAGCCCGCCCCCTCACAGGCCCTGCCTCAGCAGCTGCAGCAGCTGCACCACCCACAGCACCACCAGCCACCACCACAGCCCCAGCCGCCGGTGGCCCAGAACCAGCCGTCGCAGCTCCCACCACAGTCCCAGACGCAGCCTCTGGTGTCACAGGCGCCGGCGCTCCCTGGGCAGATGCTGTACACCCAGCCGCAGCTGAAGCTGGTGAGTGCCCGGGGCCCTCGTGCCTTTATGCACTGCCGCGATGTCTCAGGCTCCTTGGCCATAGACAGCACATCTTCTTCACGCCCTGGGACTCAGGTGCTCTCCCTGACCCCGGCCCCCACGTCCTGCCTGGCAGTGGAGCGTGCACCCTGTGCGGGGCGCCCCTGCTGCTGGGCCAGCAGCTCGTCTCCCAAGCAACACGCTGACCCTGGCAGAGGCTGGGACGTGTAAGACCATGGACAGTTAGTTGGGTGGCAGCGCCGGCTTTCTCACTGTGGGGGAGGGCCTGTGCCTCCACTGAGCATCCACAGGTCTGCTGACCGCTTGGGGTTCTGCTCTGAGCAGAGATCGGTGTATCTTTGAAAGGGTTTAATATAAAATACTGTAATTTTTAGTCTCCTACAGTTCTGTAAAAGAAAGTCCAGTAGAGTGATATTTACATGGAAGACAAGATATTGTCACCAGATTGGGGGTAGCTGTATCCAGGGGCCGTTTTAAGATTTTTTTCAGCTCACTTCCTTGGTTTTCTTAGCCTTTTCTATTTGCAGTTCATTGAGCAGAGTGGGGACAGGGTCACACCTGAACCAAATGGCGGGTGGATAGGAGGCCCCCGGTACAGGCTGGAAGGGGTTGTGAGGAGCTCCAAGTGAGCTGTCAGTGTGCTTGGCCGAGCAGTCTGGGCTGTGCATGTGGCCTTGGGGGCCATCGCTTTGCTTGCTGAGGTAGCTGGTGGATACAGCTGTGTGGTGACATCCTGTTGGGGCTAACTTCTTGCTAAAGTTGGGGGAGGTGGGCCCAGCCATGCTGATTCAGAGCCAGCTGGTGTGGTACAGTCCTGAGAGGAGCCCCAGGTAAGGGACGGCCAGTCACAGGACATCAGCCAGTGAAGTCGTGGCAATCCCACTCACCTTGTCAGGGAAGGCTTGGAGACTCGAGGCTCCCAAAGCAGTGGGGGGCGCTCTGCCCTCTGCCCTGGGTGTCCCCAGATCGTGTGCTCCCTTCCTCCCTCAGGTCCGAGCTCCAATGGTGGTGCAGCAGCCGCAGGTGCAGCCCCAGGTGCAGCAGGTGCAGCCCCAGGTGCAGCCGCAGACAGCAGTGCCGACAGCTCAGGCCTCCCAGATGGTGGGGTCCGGAGTCCAGGTGAGAGCCCCGAGCCCAGGCTCCCATAAGCGCCGGCAGGTACATGTCCCCTGTGCACAGAGCTGGGTCTCAGACGCTCTACAGCGAGGGTCCTGGTTGGATCGGGCTGGTCCTTGGAGTCCTCGGGTGGCCGCCCTGGTCCTGCTCGGCTATGTCTGGGCCCCAGCTGCACTGTGCTCCTGCGGTTCCCACCTCTCCCCCGCCGCCCTGCGTCTTCCTCTCCCGTCTTCTCCAAGAACACATTGGAGAGGAGAGCGTCGCTGTCTCTTTCTCGCATCAGCTCTGAACACAGGGCTTGGTGGGCAGATAGTAGCTCTTGAGGAACCTGGGAAGGGCACAGAGATAGTGGCATCTGGCTCTGGTGGTCACTCAGGCTTGGCTGACATGTGTGGCCCAGGCCCATCCCCTGCATATTGGGTGTCAATGGAATGGAGGAGGCCTCCTGACCTCATGGCCTAGTGGAGGTGACATCCTCCTCGGTGTCTAGAGTTGGAGGATGGGCCTCGTGCCTTCTCCGCGGCCCCCTCCCGCTCGTGTCTGTGTCCAGGCCCAGGCCTTGTACTTCCTGTCTCTGCCCAGCGGTGGGGACGCCAGTAGTCTGGCTCAGCAGAGTGTAGGCTGTAGACAGAGCAGATGTGCCAGTTGACGTGGTGAGAAGCCTTCAGCTGGCCTGTCTGCCCCAGCGTTGCCCTGCCCCGCTCACAACTGGTGTCTGCCGAACTACCCTGCTGGTGCACAGGGCTGCGTGTTGAGCACCCTCTGGATGCCGCGAGTTCCATGAGCTTCAGGGTGGAGGCTCAGAAATGGTCCTTCCTGATCCCGGCCACATTGCTCGAGTCTGTGGGAAGCTGCCTGAGGGGAAGTGTGCTGGCTGAGGGCCCTGCAGTGTTTGAGGGTCACTCTGTGATCACTGCACTTGGTTACCAGCTAACCTGGATGTGTGAAACACGCCACGGACGTCGCATCTGTAGCTGGAGCGGGTGGGGGTTGGCTGCCCTGGGTGTCCCCTGTAGGGGGTGGTGTGTGGTAAGAGCGGGGACGGTGGCCACAGAGTGACCTCCCACCCTGCAGGAGCCAAGGCCCTTGCCACGTCTCAGGAGGTAGGAGGGGGAAGTCTTGGCCCTCTTTGCCCTTGACCTTGCAGCATCCGTCCTGAAGCGAAACCTCTCTTCTCACCCCATTTCTCGGCGTTGGGCAAGCGAGCAGCCCTGGAGTTGACATCTTCTGATGGTCCAGGCCGTCCTGCTGGTTGTTCATGGCTTCCAGCTCAGGGAAGCTGGCCTCGCTGCATGGCTCTAGCAGCAGCGTGGTCCCTGGGCTGCAAGAGACCCCAGGGTGGGGGTCTCTGGATTCGCCTTCCTTTGCAGCCTGGGTTGGTGCAGTGGACGAGAAAAGGCTGCAGCTGTTCTGACGGGAGGCGGAGAGGCACATGGAAGACCCTTCAGAGCCATGTGCTACTCTCCACCGCCTCTTTCCAGTTCCCGGGGTCTCTCATGTGGCCTTTTTCCCGTTGGCATTACAGCAGGTGTGGAACATTCTGCCGTGATTGAAGTGTGTGGGAGTGGGCAACAGGCCCCCCACCTGGAGCCCCAGGGCAGTGTGAGCGCTCCACCCACCGATGCCCCAGTTTGTGTCTGGTGTGTGGTGCTGGGTTCTGCAGGCAGGGCTCGGGTCTGACAGATGCAGGGAGGATGCCTCCCTTGCCCCTGCATGAGGGCTGCCCCGCCTCACAAACCAGCTCAGCCTCCTGGGGTAGGTGTTTTGTTTTTCCACCAATCAGTCCTGCTTCCTTTCGGAACCTGCTGTGTGGTTTTCACTTAGTTCCATCCTAACAGTTTGAGCACATGCAGGCCCTGCTCTTCAAGGACCAGCCCCCATTTCACACCCTAGAGTGAGGGTTCCCGCCAGTGCACGCCAGGCCAGCCTAAATGCTTACAGAGTGTAAGTGGCCAAGGACAGCGGTCTTAGCGCATGCTGGGATTCTGGAGCCCGCGGGCATCTTGTCCATCCAGGGGCAGCCCTGACCCATGTCCTTGTGGGCAGTGCACCTCCTCACAAGGGCAGGGCCTCAGGCAGAGCCCCTCTCCCGGGTTGCACTTCGAAAGAAACGCCGGGCCCTGTATATGCTCAAAGGAGGGGAGGAGAGTTGGAGTTCAGGCCCCGGGCGTCCTTGTCAGGCACGCGCTCCTAGAGGGGAGGTGTCCGCCTCTGGGGGGAGGGTTATAACAACGATCCAGCCACTCTGCCCCGGCCCACCCTGGAGCCTGGTCTCCCAGAAGCACCACCCCAGCCGCTTGGGTCTGGCCCTGCCGGCTCTGTGTGCCCATCCAGGGTTGGAAGTTTGTTGAAGGAGCAGGAAGTTCTGGATGCAGCATTCCCGGCAGCTCCTCCAGATTTCGAAACCTCGAATGGCCTGGACGCCGTGGGCTTGAACGTGGAGGCCGGCGTGCCTCCCAGTCAAGACCTCTTGCCCACGGCACCCCTGCCGCATTTCTTCATCGTGATTGCCTGGTCTGTTGTCCCTCTGTTCTCAAGATGATCGCCAGTAAGATCCCGGTTCCCGCCCACCGTCTGCCATCCAGTTGAGTGCCACTCCTCTGGGCACACAGCTGTCTGCACAAGTAATCCCAGGGCAATGTCTAGGGCCCCCGGCAGCTCGGGTCCCCAGCGCCTTCACGAGGCCCGGAACTGGTCAGCAGCCACCTTCACAGTGGCTCCCAGAGGGTCTGGCCGGGCTTGTGCGCGGTCTCCCCCAGCTTGTGGCCCGAGGGGATGTGAGTGCATGGCTGGGCTTGTCTTCATCTTACCGGGCGGGACAGCTGGTCCCAGCATGTTGGTGTTCTGATGAAGGCGGAGCTGAGTGTCGTTTATAGTTTTTAGTGTTTAGATGGTCGTGCTGCTGTCGTCTTTGGGGTCAAATCAAACAAAAGCTAAGTGAGTAGTTTTGCTTTTGAGGGCCGTGATGTCTAGTACTGTAGCCACTGGCTGTATGTGGCTTTTTAAGTAATTAAAATGAAGCAACACTGAAAGTTCAGCTTCTCAAGTTTCATTCAGTTCCATTTCCAGCGCCCAGTAGGCCTGCGACACAGCTAGTGTCCGCCAGGCTGGCTGGCTTAGATCGTAGAACAAGTTGGTCCATCATGGCCACGTTCCTTCGGGTTGTGCTGTTTCCAGTGGAGAGTGTAGAATTTACTTCCTGTGCCTCCCTTTCTAGGTAGGTGCAGGCTCCTGTATACATTGCGCTTTCTCAGGGATGCAAATTCCTGGTTTTCACATGGAACCTAGAATTCTTCCATGGCGTATTCGGTTGTTTCACAAATACTGTCACGTGTGTTCACGGGCCAGGCACCATTCTAAGATTCCGACAAAGAAATGGTAACACGGCGCCCTCATCTTATAGGCTTTCCATTTTCATGGGTTTTCTGTGAAAACCTCAGATTTGCCAAAACGTTAAAATCCAGTTTCTGTTGTGGGGCAATGCATCTGTCATCCCAGGAGGCAGTAGCCCTACCTCCCCGACAGCATGCATGTGGGCACCACCACCTGCCCGAGCATGGCTGTCCCCGGGTGAGGCCTTGCCATTGGGGCATGTTGAGTTTTCACCGTCCCTGCCGCCCAACTCCAGGGTTCCCCCCAAATGCGAATTGACATAGTTTATCACAGACAGCGGCTGACTCTTTGGAATCAACGTCCTTTTGAGTGGGTGTAGGTTGTGGGAAGAGGTGGTGGTGGGAATCTGCTGGTAGGAAGGCTAAGTGGCAGGTCTCTGGAGGAGTGGAAGCTGAGGGCAGGGTGCTGCCAGGGCTACAGCATGACGCGAGATTGGGCTCGGGCCTCAGGTGCCCCGGCCCCGCCACCCCTTCTGTCCCCGGTGCTGTACCCTTGCCCCGTCCCTCTGGGGTCTCAGCTCTGTCACCTCCAGCTGTTGCATTTCCTTTCTTGCCATCTCTGGCTCCGCGTCCATCTGGCTAGGGTGACCATCAAGCTGTGTTGGTGGGTGTTGGGGAATGACTTTAGCATCAGCACATAGGGCTCATTTTTACAAAACAATAAACTCCTCAACATTCTACCTATGTGATACAGGCCTTGCGCTCAGTTTTTTGTGCACAGACTCTTGTTTGTCCTCAGCGCAGTGGGTCAGGCTGGAGCATTTAGGGGTGCCCTTCCTCATGGCCCCTGTGTGGTGGTGAGCATCCACTGGTCCCCCAGCAGCCCCTGAGGCCAGAGGCACCACCAGGGGCGCCACCAGACCAGGACACTCAAAGTAAACTCTCAGGTGGGCTTCGCGCTGCAGCCTTCCTGCCTCGGCCTGTTGGCGGGGGCCTGGTTGCCAGGGATCAGGCCTGCTTCTTCCCCAGCCCCTCCAGGCCAGGCATGCTGGTTACTCAGCTGACCATGGAGCTGGCTCCAGAGTCATATGCAGCTGCTCTTGCGTCTGTGTTTCTAATCCAGTCCCTCCCTAGAAAAGAGAGCTGATTCCAGGACGCATCATGAAAACATAGCCACCCCACAGTGTCCCACCTGAGCTCCCTGCTGCTGGCTCCCCCGGACCGTGGCGCGTCCGCATGGCATGTCCTGTGGTTGCCGCCTACGCAGTCCTCAGGGACGTGCTCAGCAGCCACTGTGCCTGCCTGGTATTGCTCCTTCCTTGTAATAAATTGGGTCCAAGAAGACAGGACAGAAAGTGGGCCCTCCTAATCAGCCTGTGTTGACATGTGGCTGTCTCGTCTGTCTCAGCCTCTCCTCCAACCATGTCCCTCTTCTCCTACGACGTCCTGTGGCTGTACCTTTGTGTTGGGGTGGGGCTGCCTCCCAGGCCCAGACAGCTGTGACCAAGCAGGATTCTGTGCCTGGCACGGGGCCCAGCATGAGAGTCAGATGACATCCCCACAAGCATCTTGTGTCTCTGGTGGAAAGTAGTGATTTCACACATCCTCGTCCCTGAGTCCTGGGCGTGTGGTCTCCTCCCCCGGTGTTCACAGACCTTGTTCTAGTGGCAGCAGTGGAGTGGGGTCCCCCATCTCCCCGCACCCCCCACGAGGACCGCAGGGAGCAGAGTGAATGGCTCCACAGATGAGGAAATGCCTCTAGGGTGATGTCTAGCCTCACGTCCCCAGCAAGGTCTGCCTGCCCTGCAGAATCTGCTCAGCTGCCAGGCCAGGTGTGCCAGCGAGGGCACCGCGGGGTAGCTCTGCTCCCGTTAGGCAGGCCCAGGTGGGACATAGTAAGACATGGTCTTCCCACGGCCCTGTAGCTGGGCTTCTCCTTGGTGCCATCAGAGCTGGGGTCACCGGTGGCCTGTGGGGTCTCATGCAGGCTTGTGGGAAACAGTCCTGCCTGTCACAGAGCCTCCCCTCCACAGGCTCCCACACTCTGGATGGAGGGCCCAGGGATGTCCTTTCCCAGCCCAAAGTCCCCTTCTGCCAGCACCTTGTTCACTGTGTGCCCACTGGCACCCATGGGTCGGGGCATGTGCCTGTGTCTTTGAGAGGTGGGGTGTCGGAGAAAGGCAAGGGTGGGCGGGGCGGAGGGAGGCCGGTGAGTAGGCTGAG